AGTTGTATTCCTTGGCACAGATCAACCTCCATGGTACCTATGATAGATACATCTGATCTTCATCTTGTATCGCGTAACACAACTAAAGCAGTAGTTCCTGCATCTCTTCGATATAAGACATGCAGATGAACCATAATAAAGCCCTAGATGTATGTGTTGTATTCCTTCTTGTACGAGTCTTTGGTAAGACTGTTGGCGTACAAAAGGAAGGTTCACTTGATTATCATCTGTTACCAACACACGTTCCTCAGAATAGTGTTGATAAACACGGTGTTGCGAGACAGAGAATCCATCTTGATACAAAGTCTCAGCTGTTACAAGATTTGCTCGTTTATGTTGAGAGATTTGCAACTGTTGTTCTGGATCCAGTCGACTTTCAAGTGTCCTCGTATATGATATTCTTCTTGGCAACCTTCTCTGTAACTCATAAGCAATTCGAGATCTCATCCGATAGTCTCGGATTTGATCATCTAGATTAGAGATATGATTGGAAGAAGTACTAGGATTATTTAATACTGATGGGGCAGTAACAGTTCTTGATGAGGACATGATGTCAATTTTTCTTAGACTTTTCAGAGATGAAGATGAATTTGGGATTCCTGTAAACAAAGAGTTTGCCTTTTGGTTTTGAAATCTTAGGTGCAGATGAGATTTCAGAAATCGATAATCCCTCAATTTGTTTTCTTAACAATTCCACAGAATCAGGTTGATTCTTAAAACTATGCAAAGTTTAATCTGATCTTCAAGATTAATCAATCTATCAGATAGTTTTAAAACAAGTTGAATTAAAGTATTATTTTGTTTTACAATGGCGCTTAAAGCAGATGTAGTGTTTTGTCTGGCTTCGGCTGGATTAACAAAACCAAGAGCAGGTGGTTCAAGGGATTGAGTTGCAGTAAGTGCAGCTTTGTAATCGGATGCAGAAGATTGAATCCAATCGTTCATAAAAACAGAAGAAAGAGACGAGCGATAAAGTGAAAGTAACTCAGGCTTACCGTTTCAAAGTTTTATAACTTAGTTATATAATCAAAATTCTCTTTTCAACTTCTTAATTGGTTTTAGCTCATGAGATTCGTCTGCCCTCAATCTTATAACGTTTATCCCTGGATCTTATGTTTTTTTATAGCAGATATCTAGATCAAATTATTAAAATACGATCAGAAACGAAACATGATCAGGTTCCTGAATGCTACCCTATTAATTCATTTTCCTTTTCACCCCTATTTTCACCCCTACAATTCCACAGTGCTCATTCCAGAGTCTCGTCGTGGCACTCAAGGTTACTGGCTGAATTAATAGGACACAGCGTCCTGATCAATATTCATTTGTAGATCATAAATTAATATCCGACAGTGTTCGGCCTCAAAAATCATAAACCCAGAAATAAGTATGCATAAGCTGAAAAGGACGTTAATGAGTATTCATACCTTCTTAACTCAGGATGTCAAAATTTCATGAACAAAAACTAAGAAAGATTCTACACAGAGTATATTGATTATTACAACTATAATTAAGAAACCTCTACTCGGTTTTTCCTGAGATACAGAAAAGATTTTAGCCCAACATGGCTCTGATACCAAGTATGTTCAAAAAAGGGATCGCCGTTTTGGGGTCACAGAGAAAAACTACGAAGAAGCCACTAGCTCCAACTGGAGGGAACCAAGAAAGATAGACATATGATTCGATGAATACAAAAATCAATGAAAGTATATATTTGTGCCTGGTTATTGCGATAGATACCAAACTGAGTTGTTCGCTTATGAAACGGGCTACTTATCACGGTATTTGACATTTTTATTCTGAATATGCTAAAAATCCATAAGGATCTTCTTATGTACAAACTTAGAATAAACTGAAATCCAGAATTTTGATAACCAAGTAAATCGAGCTTTCATGGTTGCCTTGAGAAATTTATTTTCCCATGGATATTGAAGATTTCAACCCTTTTTGTTCTTTGAGGATTCAGCGCTTTCTAGAAACAATAAGGAAATTATATGAATTTTGGCTTTCCAACGTGTTTCAGCCCCCTTTCTAAAAATAATTAGCACTGCCCTCAACCTCCAACAATTATTATACACCTATAATGATATGTTCAATTATAGTAATTTTTTGTCCACTGAAAAAAAAAAATTATAAATATACATTTTGAGAAATAAAAAAAACTTGCGAGATTGAGTAATAAGTTAGTAATGAAAAGGTGGAGGCGAAATGGGAGAGAGACAATGAAGATAAGGCACTGATGTATTGTCAAGAAGCTTTTAAGAGAGAAACCAATAACATCCAGAAAAATAATAATAATAATAATAATAACACGGAGTAACATACAAAAAAAATGAGGGAAAAGTACACAGAAAAACTGCCAAGAGGCAACTAGCTCCAACTGGAGAGAACCAAGAAAAATAAAGCAATGACTCGATGAATACAAAAAACAATGAAAGTATATATTTGTGCCTAGTTATTGCGATAGATACCAAACTGAGTTGTTCGTTTATTCAATGGGCTACTTATCAAGGATATTTGACATTTTTATCTTGAATATGCTAGAACACAATAAGGATCTTCCTATGTACAAGCTTAGGGTAAACTGTAATTCAGAGTTATAATTAAATTGAGCTTTCACGGTTGCCTTGAGAGATTTCTTTTCCCATGGATATTGAAGATTTCAACCCTTTTTGTTCTTTGAGGATTCAACACTTTCTAGAGACAATGAGGAATTATATATGAATTTTGGCTTTCCAACGTGTTTCAGTCCCCTTATTAAAAATAATTAGCACTGCCCTCAACCTCTAACATTTATTATACACCTAGATAACATTAAAATTGAAAGCTCAACCAAAAAGGCTAAATGAAACTTTCAACTGAAAGAAGATGATTATTGAAAAAATAAGATTACTCTATAATACACATTGAATGCTGTGATTGAGCAATGAATTTATGATAGTAGATTCATAATAAAAAATATTTTATGATTGCTCCCAATAAAATGAAACAAAAGATAAGATAGAATTTAGCAAATTATTGTATGAGGTCTACTCAATGTTAGTTGTAGAGGCAATAGATTGATATAAACATCATAGGTTATCTCAAAAATAAAACTAATTCTTGCAGATAGCTCTTTCTAGATTACTTCTAACATATTGAGCACGAAAAAAAAGAGATAATAGGGCCCAATGAAAAATGTGGTAAAAAAACCATAATAGAGCTCTACCACAACTGTAGCTATTATCTTCCTGCATATGACTAAAGCATTACCTAATAAAAAAGATTTAAAAATCATCAGAAACCCCCTTTGTCTTTTCTATTATAATTTATCGATTACTATATGATTATTCCTTAATTTTCCTTTACTATACAAATAGAAACGTAGGAATATATATACTATAAATGGCATCGCCTATGCCAATGACAAAAAGGATATGAAATATATAAAATTGGGATATAGGTGGAATAAAATGAAATAGACTCCTAGACGCAGGGCTTAAGGCTCGGCTGAACTGACCAATGGTTCAGCAAAGGAGAATCTCGGTCCAATAGGAGGCTGGACTGATCCTTCTTCCCTGCTGTAGCACCTCTTCCAAACAGTCCTCCCTGCTGCCAAACCTATTTCCAACACCCTTCCCTGCTGCCGCACCTCATCCGAGCACCCTTCTCTGCTGCCACACCTCCTCCCAGCACCCTTCCCTACTGCCGCAACCCCTCCCAATAATCTCCTTTACTGCTGCCAGCCTTCCTTGCATGGTCCTTGCTGCCGCCCTTCCCCCAACAACCTTCCTAATGCAGCCACAACCACTAGACCACCCCCACACCTGCTGTCCAACCAGAGTTCATCACCTTCACCCTCGCCCTAGGGACCTTCTTTATGTTCATCAGCATTTATTTCCTCTTTTGGAGAGTCGCCGTTGTAATGTATTTGAATTTTTAGAAATAATATTTCAATTTCTATTATAGTTTGGGTTAACTCCGGTATCAATTTTATTAAGATTCCCAATAAAATGAGGCATGAGACAGAGTCACCATGAAGAAGCTCCTAGAATTACAAAAACAAAAGCTTTGGACTAAAGTTATTCATAAGTTGAGAATGTGAGTTGACATATATGAGGTTGAATCTCACATTGTTCCTCAAAAGCTCAGTTGTACAATTCTTAGCTATTGAATGACCGATCATAGGTTTAAATTCTACTTGGAGAGATTTGATTAATTCTTCATTAAAGAATCAATAAATGAATGAAAGAGCTTGCATTGACCGTTGGCATAAGTAACTCAATTCATATCATTATTTCTATTGATATTTATCTCATCATATAACATTATTTTCCAAAATATTTGAGAATCGCCCTCAATTCTTAGGCATTGATCTGACCATTGTAAATAGCAAATTCAAAATTCTCAAGAGTATTAAAGATGAAATCATTAACTCTTACAATGGCCACAATTATGGTGAGTAGACAAGTTAAATTAATGTCGAGGATTTTTTTTTTTTTGCTATGTTACTGATATTTGTTCTGCTATTCTATTCAAGCTCAACTAACAAGTCATAGTGAGTCAAACGCAAACATGTTAATTCCCGCCCACTTAATAACCCTTCTAAAGAAAATTTCTTCAGAGTAAAAAATAATTTCTAACTACTCAACCATGATGAATCTACTTGCCATTGCGAGCAAGATACAAGTTCCATCTCTTTTTCTGCTCTTTACCAATAAGATCCAAATAAAGGCAAGTTACCAAACAAAAAAATTAAAGCAGCAAAACAATGAATCAATTTTGTAGGCATGATTCACAAATACTTGGCGTGTAATACAAACAGATTTTACAAACAGATAAATGATACAGCACAGGTAAACGTTAGGTTACTAACATGAAGGCAAAAGTGTTTAAGAGGAGTTAACAAGATTCAAAGGATAAGCATGAAATATTGAATTGCATTGTGTTCTCTGCCCTATAAGTAGAAAACAAGATTACACGTAATAAAAGAAACAGGGAAACTGCTAGTAATTACTCACTCAAACCAGGAATATCTTCAACTTTGAGAATCTTTCTAGGAATACCAGCTTCCTTCTGAAAAGAAAAATATCCAAATAGTAAGTAAGATGCGCAACATATAATACCAGTAAGCATAGCAGAAAAGATGCTTCAATGTAAGAGAGAAGTAGCAAGGATTAATGGCATGCTTTAATGTACAACTCAAATGAAACTAATGACTGAAGTTTTTGTTATTTAAAAACTTAGTTCATTCTTTTCTAGCTTTTTATCCAATTTATATTATATAACTACTTAACCATATAATTCAAACATTTCCAATCATTGATAATATTTAGTAGAAAGGGGATTACAAATTCATAAAATTAGTATGTGGCAAAAATAGGTCTATACTATTCAGTATTCTTTCTATCTGCCCAACCATTTTCTTTTTTTGCAAGAAAAAAATAATATACTTACATACATATATATATATATATCTATTGTCAGGAGTGACCAAGGTATCATCCATTAAGTTTCCAAGCTGAACTGTGTCCCCAGTCTTCTTCCTCCGCCGAAAAGTGTAAACTTGTCATTCTTCTTCTGAAGACTGTTCAGTCTGATCCGTAGACGGAAAGGCAGCTGCAGCGATGAGTTCCTGAGTTTGTGTATGACAGTCTTCCAAAACTTGGGAAACACCTGCCCTCTCAACAGGTAGTTCTACCAACTGATTAATAGCAGTAAGATGGTTTGTGTTTGGCTCTAAATCTTCCTCATTAGTATTAGAAGACACACTTTCCGTCATCTGCATGTGAATGTTCGCTTCATCCCTATCTTCAATCACCTCATAAAGGGGAGCTTGAGCACCCTCCACGATAGGTAGAGTCTGAGAGGATAGTATGTCCACTCCAGTAAAAGAAGGGACAGTGACCGCGTCCTGACTTCCAGGGGCAACCTCCTGACTCTCCTCCAACAAACGACCCTTATCAACATTCTCCGAAACAATATCAGTAGAGAAACCATTTTGCATCGTATCCGCCTTGGGCATAGCAGTAGGTATCACAAGCAGTGAGGAAGAGGGTATAACCTCCGCAGGAATGTGCTGAGAAACAGGAGGTGGGGCTACAGCCGACCGAAGATGGGGATGCAACCAATAACAGGATTAAGAGCTATGAACAAACATTCCACAGTGAGAGTAGTATTGGGGATGAGGTCGCATCACAATCTTCTGCTAATAACCCTGATGAGGGGAGTCAATCCAAATCTCGGAAAGAAAGGGTTGAGTGATGTCGCGCTCTACAAGCACACAAGCTTCAGATGGTCTGGTTGTATCAAGCGTGGGAGTATCGACCTTCAGTGGTTTCCCAAAAGCAGTTGCCAATGTATAAAGGGTTTCATAATTGAAGAGACCTTGAGCCCTGTAAAATTAACCCAAACCGGGATACTAGGAGAATCCAATTTAGGATCAAAATCCACAGTCCATTTCAGAATTTTCATAAAACGATTATCAATTTTGAGAACTTTTTTAGCGAAGAGTTGGGTATAATCTGCGTCATTTGAGAGTTCAATGAAAACGTGACGGCCATCTAGCGAATCTAGCACGGCCATCTAGCGAACCAACTTTCCAACTCCCTGTGAGCTTAAGAGAATCAAAATGCTTTCTAATAATCTAAAACTTGGGATTTCCATACGGAAATTTCCCAACAAGAATATATCTACATGTTGAAGCCAATATACATGTTTCCTCATCAGTGAGAAACAAAGCGGGTTTGTCATTCTTTCTAAAAAGTATAACCACCAAGGTATAACCACCTTCAGATTCATGTGCATCATGAAATTCTTGAGGGAAGAAACAGGAACGGCCGCCTGCTCCGGGAGTAGAACCCCCGGAGACAGCCGCCGCATAACTCGGGGCCATTCCCCCAAACCGAAACAAAAGTAAACCCAAATGCAAAAGCCCCACGCGCCAACACTGGAGCTGAAGCAACGAAGAACTGAAACAGGGAACGCAAATCTCGAAAGCAAACGAAGCCACAGACTGCGATCGGGGAAGAAGGCTGCGACCGGAATACGCAGCGTAGGTAGCAAACAAGAAACTCAGTTTGTGACAGGGGATGAAAGCCCAAGGGCTGATATTATTAAAATAGAAAGGATACAAAAAAGTTGTATGAGAGAACCCAAAAGAGACACTCTGCCCATACGATACAAGTACAGTAACACCCTAACAAAAAGGTACAGATAGACTCAATAAAAAGTAAAACAAATTTAAAACGTGTTAAAAACAAGTAGATAGGGACGTGTCAGTTTAGTCATGTCTTAGTCATGTGTCATGTCTCTTCCTCTAGTTTTAGGAGCAGAGCCAGATAACAAATTTTGAAGAGTCGTGTCATTGTTAGGAGTAAATAAAGTATCATCTATTAAGTTTCTAAGTTGGAGTGTGCCCCGAGCCTTCTTTCGTCGAGAAGTGTAAACCTGTCATTCTTCATCTGAAGACTGGCTCATGTGATCCTCAGTCTGATTTGATGTTAGAACCGTAGTAGAAGGAAAGACAGTCGTTGCCACCGCGATAAGTTCCAGTATATGTGAAGTGTGAATTACTACCTCTGCACTTAATGCTTCTTGAATAGGAGCTACGGGACTATCCTGATTTTCGGTTCGAATATTAGCCGTTGAAGTATGGTCATGAGAAGGGATCTCAGGGGTAGATACCAACTCCTATCTTATGGTAATTCCCTCCTAAGGTTGGTTGTCATCAGGTTTGCTGGGAGCGCGTTCATGCACATGGGGTGCACTAATAGTGTGTTCCAGCTTTTGACTATTGATTCTCAACTGAGGGTGCAATTTGAAACATTTCTCCTGCGAGTGTCCAAACATCTTGCAGTGTTTGCAGTAGTAAGGTGTTCCATAATATTTTTTTGTCAATAATCATTGTGAGCAGATCCAAGCCTGACTTCTTCTACATCTGGTAGTGTAATATCTCTTTCAATCAAAATTCTTGTAATAGAGGGCCTTGAGAAATGAACTGTAGGTAAGTCTACCTGCAAAGGTCTCCAGGATAGTCTCAATTGTATATAAGATAGGTAAGTCAAAGAATTGAAGCTTGAATTCAGGTAATGAGAACCAGATATGTGCAATTGGGGGTTCTTGATTGAGATCAAAATTAAGGGTCCATTTGAGCAACTTTATATTTTTGCCCTCGATTGTGATGAATTCCTTTAAGAAAATCCTCGTGTAATCTTCTTTTATGCTCAGTTGTATCATAACATGTCATCCGTGAAAATGACCCAGCTGTCAATCCCCAACCAGTTTGAAATCTTCAAAAACCTTACTGATGATCTCAATCTTAAGGCAACCTAATTGGAACTTTCCAGCTAGTGTAAATTTGTATTTTCCTGCACGAGTTGAAATTTCAGCATCAGAGAAGAGTATTGCTGGTTTGCCCGCTTTTTTTTTCTACTTTTTTTATGAGATTGCAATTGTCATTTCTTGTAACATAATCATGGTACATCTGCGGGAATACCAGACTATCTGCGAGGTGAAAATGGAAGTTGCGTTTGTGAATCATTATAGCATAGGAGGGTTTGGCAAGATTATCACCGACGACTGCGGTAGCGTAGGAAAACCCTGAGGCCATTAGCGTGTTTCACACAAGCCTGCAGCAAATGGGCGCAACCGGTGCGCGAACAGTCGAGCAGTGAAACTGTGGCGGAGCAGTCGATCGGCCTTTACGAATCTGCAGCGCGAAGGCTAGACAATGTGGCAGATGATGCCTCAAAGACACGACGACACAGCAGATGACGCAACAGACGACGGCGCGAACTCCTCCGCCAGTCAGAGCCGAAGACGAAGACAGAAAGGATTGAAACGAGCAAGCGAAAAACAGATGTCTGTTTCGAGCTAGGGTTTGCCATGAGCGGAAACCCTAGCAGAGCGAAGAAGACCCATCGTTGCATATATATATATATATA